AACACAAGAACACACCTTACAAATTAAGCACTGTTTGAATTTTAAATAGTTGCACAAACATTAAGCAAAGAAACAAACATCATAAACATGCCCTATCTTGGCAATACAGTACAGTGAATGTACCAGAAAATGAGACAAGGCTATGATTGATGATTTCATTTCAAATTTTAGAGCATTCAAGGGAGCCCTATCTGAAAAGTTCAGGCTGCATCCCAGTTCACTAGAGGTAAAAGTGCAAAGTCACTCTCACTGACAAGAATAACAGCCTGTGAGAAGGTCAATTCTCTCATACCACCAAGAGGCAAAGGAAGGGAGCATTAGTATGCTTCCCACATCCACGCAGCATTATCAGCCGCATGCAGCAGTGTCTCCCTCCACAAAATCACTACATGTTTACTCCTACAGTGGGAGAAGATCACAAAGCAGCAGCCATGCATGCAACTGCCTAAAAATAAATAGTTGACGTCTCTACCGTCTTCGCATTCTTTTAATGTCGTAAATAAACTGTAGTGAGGCAAGGAGCCATTTCCTCAAATGTCACTTAGGTAAATCTGCGATCTCTGTTAAAACAGGCCCTCTGGTGTTTTTCCCTTAAAGGAGACGGTGCTATGGTTATGAGTCTGCCAAAGGCACATTACTCAAGCGCTTGTTGACGTTTATATAGCAAACATGATACCTTATGACAACCACTAGCAAAGCTTACAGGTCCTCCAGGCATATGATTTATGTTTCAAGAGTATTTTAGTGCTAAAAACATTTTCGGTTTTCAGCCAATAAGAAAAAGAACCAAGTGTCTGTTAAGAGATTTGATTCACTTAGGTGCCATCTTGGTAAGACCAACCGGGGACTATATTTGTGAGTAACAAGACAAGTCTCCTCCCTCAAAAAGTGCAGAGCTATCTGGGGGGGGGTTCCTGGTAAATTAGTCACTTCTACTGTTACAAGCTTGGTCGGGTGGAAAGTAAACATGGCTAAGGAAGTGGCAAATAATAATCAACAGAATGAGAGGTTGTCTCTTTTTGTTCTGCTTTTAGTGTCCTCTACAGTTAACAGAAGTTAGTCCTTTGTGATTGATTTTTCACTTCAACTTCTTTTTTTCCCCACTACAGGCCCCCTGACAATACTCGCTCTTATTTCAAGGGCAGTTTCTACAGAGAGTTCACAGAGAGCAGTCACCGCTCGCCTTTGTAAAAACATTTCCATGAGGCCACTGACAGGTGGTCTCCAAAAGAGCAAGGAAGCATGACTGGCAAGTGAGCTACACAGCCAAGGGCTCTTTTCATACAATATTCCCCCTCCTCAATTCCCCGACAGGCTTGGAGAAATAAAGAAAAAAATAACATCTCTCAAATGTTTATACAGGAATATCCGTTTCACACTGACCTCTGTTCTATTCAGCTTTTTACTCCTGTGCTAAAGCCCACTCCTGCGATGCTACAATGATGTAATATGTGTTGCATAAATAATCCATGAGACAAACATTTATCACAAACAGCCTGCATTATTTATCTATTAGGGAGCTTAAGAAGCTGTGGGACCTGCTCTGGGAATAGCCTGCTGTGTACAGGAGGGTCGGTGTGTGAGAGGCTGGGGGGTGAGTGCACTGGCATGGAGCGAAGAGTAGTGTTTGGCCAAAGGGGCCCCCTCTGTGTTCTCTCTACCCTGGAACAGGAGCCAAGGCGTTCCGGGCTGTGTTTCAAGAGCAACAAACTTCACCAGCATTTTAGAGATGACATTTGGAGGTATCAGCATGCTAAGCCTGGGAGGGGTTGGCCCATCGCTCTGCCAGCACGACCCTGGGAGCTGCCACTGCCTTGTCTACGCTGAGGGGATTTGTGTCAGTGCCGGGCCTTAAAATACCATGGCTCTTCACCCCCCCGCTTCTGTCTACACTCTACTCACCCCCAGACTGACTGACAGAGACTCACTTTGCCTCAGCTTCTATTTTCCAGTTTTTCTGCATCAAATGTCAAAAAGTCTGGGCTATTCGGTTCATTCAACAATCCACATATAAATCCCGGCTGCCAATTAAATCTGGGAAGATCGGAGTAAAAGTGCTGCTCAGATTGCACAGGGTGAAAAATGTATGTGGCCCCATCAGTCAAGATTCAGCTCGGAACAAAGGTGCAGCTCCTGTGATCGTGTTTTGTTAGGTGTCGCCTGCTTCCTCCTCATCGGTTTCTTTCATGGCACTCTGTGAATTGGGTGAGGCAGAGACAATTACTGGGAGCCTGTTGTTCATTTACTCCCACAAGGCCAAAAAGGCGGAGGTGATGAAGCAGCTGTTGGTTGGCATGCTAAATGAAACGTGCACACATGCAGTGCATGCCTAAACAGCTCTATATGAGACTTGTCATGCAGAGAAGTGGGGGACTGCTCTACTTCACTGCTAATCAGGAGGCCTCTGCTATGTCTTTGGGGCCTCTGTTTGTTGCTCTTCCCTGGTACTCTGCCTGGATTTGCTTGATTTCCTCATTTGGTTCTCATTTGTTCCGTTGCCCCACAATGAGAGAAGTCTGCTCTCGCAGGTCTCTTAGGGAAAAACAACAGAATGGCAGTGCAGTTTGATGTGAGCAGCATCTGGGTCTCTTTCATTTTGAACACTAGCCAGTGGGTTGTTAGGGGCTTGTACCATTAAAATGATGTAGAAGGAATGCACATCTTTGTGTTGTTTAATGTTGTGTGCAAAATCTAATATAACAAAGGTTATTGAGAAATGCCTCTTTACAACCGCTCAGTCCAGAGTTACTTATATCTCCAGCTAAACAGATGTGCGACAGTTGCATATACAAAGAAGCTGCACACATTTCCGCCTCAGCACACTCAGGCTGCATCTACATTTTAGTTTAAAAACAAACCAATTCCAATTCCTGGATTGTGTATCGACCGACAGAGTACCAATCTGATGCCAGTGCATTTAACAAAATAACGTATAATTTTTTTTTACGACCTGGCTTCAGCCAAACCAATACTGTAGAATCTAGTTTGACAGTCTTTGTCAGAGTTGTGGGACATTCTAGCGTGAACTATGACCAAATTGCTGACATTTTAGCAAACTCTGGCTAATGCTTTACTAACAGACATCACTTCTTCTTCGTTGCTCTGAAAACCTCACTTGCCAGTGGCAGCATAGTGCAACTGCAGTTCTGGAGCAGTGAGTTTTTGGTTGAAACTTATATACTAATATATCGATGCCTGACCCGATGCCAGTATCAAAGCCATTTCTGAGTGTTGGCAATGTTTTTCAATCATCTCAGTTTTTATTAGATCTGTTGAACTAAAACGTGGCCAGCAGCGTTTCAAAACATATCAGTTTTGAGTAGTTTGGATGGCAGGTTTTAACAGTGACATGTTTCCAAGCTAAAATGTGATATTTTAGATGTAACTTTAGTCGTTAAACACAAAACTGAGGCTGATTCTTTCAACAATTAATAAGCTTCAAATATCATAATAATTTCATTTCAGACCAAGACCACATCTCACAGAAAAACACAACTGAATCAACTGAGAGCCACTTCTTAGTTGCTGTTATCCGATAGATCTCTTCGGCTTCAAAGACAGCAAAGGAAGTTGGATCCAGGAGACCCTGCTGGTCTTCACAGCTCTGATGGCCATAACAACCTGTGAGTTACACCTGCAGGGAGCACCCCCCCACCACCAACAAAACACACCAGTACCTTCCCTCCCCACCACACCACTCTTAAAACCACTCAAAGGCTCCCACCAGCCACCTCCCTACTGAGCCAGATAGAGTAGAATCAGGAGAAAATACAGCCCCATCAGGCCAAACCACTACCTCTTTCAGCCAAAATAGCAGCTTTGAGAGAGTGAGTGCAGGCAAAGGACAGACTTGGACGGTGAAAGGGAAGGGGGAAGGGCGAGGGGGAGGGTCAATCACTCTGTGGGAGGCAGAGAATGAGGGAGTGCAAACACAGTACTGGTGCTGGCTCTGAGCCATGTTTGTGTCACTAACAGAAGCAGCCCTGTCGACCCCCCTCCCCTGCCCCAACCCTTTGCCTTGCACTCAATCTCTCCCAGTTTGCTTGGAAACAGAGTCAAGGGGGTGGCTGCTGGATGCTTGGTAACAGAAAAGAGTCGCAATAGAGAGGAGGACAGGGGTGAATCAGACACAGCCTGGGGCTGAGCAAAAATCAAAAAAAAAAGGAGAAAAAGAGCGGAGGGGGGGGGGGGCACTCAATGGCAGGGACTGTGCTTTGGGAATGTTGATGAGGCAGGGACCTTTTCTGTTTAGTTCCTCCAAGTGAACCAACAAGCAGCACTGTGGATGTGTGGGCGATTTGTACTCAGCATGCCCGCAGAGCGACTGAGCGTGAGCTGCTTTGAAGATTAGGTGTTTGCATTATTTCACATGCACGACAGAGAAAGAGGGCAGTTTTTCAGACCCAGCAGAACCCGATAGCGCTGGTGATACATCTTAAAATTAAGCAAGCTGAATGCGCTTTCGATCAAAGGGAGGAAAACCGAGAGGGTCCGAAAATTTCACTCGGACTGCACTGCAGGAGAGGAGCCAACTATTTTCCCAACTGGCAGGCTTGCAAAAAAAAGGCTTTGTGTTATGAGGCATGTTGTTGAGAGCAGATATCTCTGTGCAACAAACTCCCGCCTGCAAAAAACAAATCAAGGCCACCTAAGACTTGCCTTTCAACAACTGTTCTTGTTGACAATATAATGCAGCATGTGTGCTGTTAAAACCCACATTAGTACCATCACCAGCTCCTGAGGCAATCACTGCATATCCAATTACTTTTAATGGGCTAAATATGTATAGTAATGACAGCAAGATGATTTTTTTAATTATAGAGACTTCATTAAAGCCTTGAAAAACCAATACCTCTTTGATATCTTAATGCAACCACACTGGGTCTATAACAGCAAAAAAACAAAATATCTCATATATTATTTTCTCTCAGAGTCCAGAACTCGTCTGTTTCACAGGGAAGATTTTCACTACAAAAGCTTTTTAAAACCACTTCACTTACCGTCCTCAGTTTCCTGCCACACAATGCCTTCAAGATTGACACTGGTACCAGGCTCGCAGGGCCCCAAGCACTCAGGTTCTGTAGCCAGGGCCACATCGGATGTGTTCACTGCCACTGAGCGTGTTCGCACCATTATCTGCTCACACGGCGAGGAAATCTCACTGTTGCCTACCGCGGCCAGGAGGTGGAGGGGGGGAGGGGCTGGCGTGGAGACAGGAGATTCCATCTGTGAAGCAAGAAGTGGGGGTTGAGAGAGAGAGAGAGAGAGAGAGAGAGAGAGAGAGAGAGAGAGAGAAAAGAAACACATGAGACACTTCAGAACCACTGTATAAACATGTACAGAGCAGATGCTGAGATACCGCCAACGGATGCCACAATGAGAGGAAGTGAAAATGGTGCTAAACGCATGAAAGACATCCTGGTATTTCAGCGGTTCACAGAAGCTGTTTTCAATCACCGAAAAAGGGTGATGCTGCATTTAGTGTTGTAATATGCCACTTTGTCTTTCCTCAACCTGAAAGGGGATTAGCAGGCAGAGGAGGTAGTTTGGGGACATGTGAACTGCTTTGACCACCTCCGAGGAAGGACAGAATTAGTTATGCAGGGTTGGTCAAACAATCCCTCCCCCAGCTTTCTTCTCTCGCACACAGCCGAGCGAGATCCATGACACCAAATTATCTCACAGACTGATCACTCATTAATTCCCTCAATTAAAGAGCTAGCTGTGGCAGGGAGCGCGCTGCTGAGGGTCAGTAATTGATTCCACCTGCTCTGACACACTGTGGCAGCAGTGAAGAGACAGCGGGACTACGTGAAAAGGGAAAATGAAAAGAACAGGAAGGCAAGAGGGTGATAGGTAGAAAAGTGTGTAGGTGGAAAAGAGATGCAGGAAGACTGATGGAGATTTAAGGGCCACAGTGACACCGGGCCGCTCTGTATTCAAGGCATTCAACATAAAGCACTCCAAGTCATTAGCACTGAACTACGGGAGGAATGCCACGCTGCAGCCAACACCACACAGTTATTAATTGGGCATAAACCACTCGGTGCTGGAGAATATGCTGCCAATACTGGATCCAATTAGACTTAGAAGACAAAATAACAATTGACACATTGGATTGTAAGCATGTACACCCTTTAAATAATTGCTCTAATCTACTTACTGCTCCAAAGTGTGATGTGGAGAATTAAAAGAGCTTAACGCTGCAGATGTCACAGTAACTGCTTCATTTGGATCCATGGAATGAGTATGTTGGCTTCTGGTGCGGTTGCTCGGTCCATCACCTTTGTTCAGACTAAAATCTCTCAACTATTTGTTTATGTTTATGGTCCCCTCAATTTTTTAAATAATAATCAATCAACATCAAAGTTTACCCTAATTCCCATCAATACTTATTCCCATCAATTTTCCATCCTATTTTACTAAACTAAGATAGCTAGATAGATAGATAGGTAAGATTTTATCTGCTTAACATCCATATCTTAGCAAAAACTTGTTGCCATGGCAGCATTAGAATTTAGCTCAAAGCCCTGCTGCTCTTTGCAAAACCACTCACACCACTGAGTATTTTAGCCTTTAGCCATCGTAGGCAGTAGAGTTGATGTGTATCTAGGGAATGTGGGGTTTGACAGGTGTTGACATGTACACGTCACCGTGATCCATTACTGCTGAATTCAAATTATGGGTTTTTCCCACATTTGCCTAGTACATGCAAAATTAAAAATGTTTTTACTGATTCTTTGTTTCCTCATTATAATTAGATTTGACTCATCGCGATTCATAAAATTAATCATTTGAAAACCAAACATTAGTCCCTGATGAAATTCAATATTAGCTCAACTTTCATGGTTTGCTGATATGAGAACGGATTGCCCATTTCTCCCGGTGCTAAGAGGACGAGCAAATTAATGTGTGCAGAGAGCAACAGAGAGTCAGGCCTAACGACATCATAATCACTGTCTGTCACTTTCTGATGCATGATGCGGCCAAGCTGCAGGCCAGCTGAGTGAATGAGACAGGACAGGTAATCAGCCGAGCTGTCACCACACACTGTTCCTGGGCCTTATGGAGACACAGAGGGTCGCAGACAAGACCACACAACCTGCCCTCCTTCAGACTGACAGCCGAACATTGAAAGGTGCAAACGGGTTCATGCAGAGCCTCCTCTAAATTGACTTAACTCCTCGAACTCATTGTGTTGACATTTTGAAAACTGACATTTCTGGTATTTTTCTGACCAAACTTTAATGGCATAGCAATGGCCTGGATATAACCTGTTTATTCTATTACATTGTTAGGTAGAAGCTACAAGGCTTAAGTTCTGTTGTTAAATTCACTTATTTCTTACTTTCGGCTGCCTGCTGTTGGATACCACTTATCAATAAACCCAGAGACCCGGGTGATTTAAGCGCTCAACATTAAGGGCTGTTCCATTTATTGAGCTCCTGTTGTTGACATACGTCTTCTGTTAAAAACTGTAAATCCAACAACCTTCAGCTTTGTTTCCTTAGTTAACCAACAACAAACAACAAAACTTTCATGAAAACAACTCATTTCAAGACACCCACACAAATTATTTGCTTTAGCTATCCCCATTTTTCATTCAAACCCTAACACACTTGACAATAGAGAATTAACAGAGTCTAAAATAGTCTGAAGACTGCAACTAATGATTATTTTCATAATGGATTCATCTAGAGGCCATTTTTTTTACCAACTATTATATTTTCTGGTCTATATAATATCAGGAAAAAGTAAAAATGCATCATATTTTCTAAATATCAAGCTAATCTGATGCCTCAAAACCCGAAGATATATTTGAATCAATAGTGAACAATTCACTCCAGTGTTCCTGGGGTTAATAATTTCTATCAATCAAATGATCCTCATGAATTTCACAGATCCATCTTACATTCACAGTATGCGACAACCTTGCATGGATTAGCTTTAACTCTAATTTTCCACTTCAATTTTTGTTACCAGGAAGCTTGAAAGTCGAGGGAATGATTGTGTTTCAACTGTCACAATCAAAAGTGACAAGCAAGTAACCATTTTCTCTGTAATCGTATAAACGAATTAGAATTGAATCAAAACAGAAATGGGACTAGTTTACGATGTGCATGAACAATGCAACTCATTTCCATTTCCAAGTTCTATGAATGGATGAGTGAACAAAAGGGCTTGCACTCCAGGGCTGCGGAATGTAAACCTACATAGTGAAATGCCTGATGTCTTGTCCAGGGTTTTGGAAAACCACATGTGAGTGAGCTACACAACTTGTCCGATTACACAACGCTCTACCCAACACTCTGCTCTGCCAAATTCCAAGATTTCCTCCCTGCCTGCGAGACTTTGCAGACGGATTTTGAATTCTCCTCCAAAACCACAATGCTCGAGTGTCACGCAAACCTTTTTTCTTAACTCCAACCCCATGCCAACTCCTGGAAAAAGCCACACTGGCAAGAATAAAGTTTAACTGGCAGGCAAAAAAATCCTATGAATCTTTAACTGGTGTTGAGCTTATTTCACAGAGCTGACGAAAGAGGAACTCTGTCTGGATTTCCAGCAGTCGCACAATAACTCCCTCTTGGCAGACGGACACAAGCTGCACTTTTTACTGGACACATTAACTTCAGCTTTAACTTGTTTATTAGAGTTGGGATTAAGGAACTGAGCACTGATCTTGGGCGAGGATTAGGAAAGGATTACGCGGCAGTGTCATACTGAGACACCTGTCTTGGTGGCTTAACATGTGTGCCACGTTGGGCTTGAATGTAGTTAACTAAATTGAGCTTTGAGTCTTTTACACCACACTTGGTTTAAATTACACCATTTTGAGGTTGAATATGAATGTCAGGGCTTCAGGACAGTTGGATGACACCACACAAGCAGTATGAAGGCATGTTGTGTTTTTTTTCTATTGTTTTATTACATTTGAAAGATTTATCACCATTTACTTTGAATATATTGGATTTGGCTGCAACACTGTTTACCCCTGAGACTCTTTAAGTGGGCTGTGGACTCGAACACTTCACCCACCCCCCCATCGGCAATGTGGTGCGTAGATAGTGAGTGAATAAATATTTTTTGGGTGAACTATCGCTTTAACCTGACTCTGATAACCACTGAAATGGGCAAATGACTATTATTCCAGTACAAATGTACTTAATATTAAATTGCTAAAATTGCAGAAATGGCAGTTAATGTCACCCTCAATTATCTGCTTAATCTTAATCTCTCAAATAACCTCAGCGTTTTCCTGGAAATAACCATTTCATTCAGTACAAATTCAAGATAAGCTAGAGAGTGAACAATTGGTGCACATTGTCCCTAAATGCTAAGCAAGCACATGCATTAGTTATTAATTTAGAGGAGAGCAGTTGGGCTAAACATGTAAAATGTGACATGTTTCTACAAACACTGAAGCTTGTATGAAAAATTCAGTTTCTGATAACAAATTAATGAGTAATGAATATTAACTGCATCTTAAATTGAGCAATTTCTTCCAATGGAAATTAATCTGGAAATAACGAATAAACTCCACATTATTAACTGAACTAACTAAAATAAAAAAATAATAAAAGTCTAATTTGTAATGAGTGCAAAACTACATAATTTTGAAAAGGAATAATTCATGAAATAATTTGTCAATAAGATTGTTTGTCTGGCAGAATATGTTCACTGTATTCCCCATGACATCTGAAAACAAGCTTGTTAGTCATGCAGTACGAATACTGAGTGCTGAAAAACTCAATTATCATGTGACCTTGTTGTGTGTGATACAGATAATACTGTCTGTAAAATCGTCTAAAAGGTAGAAAGTCAATACTCATTCTTAACAATGGACCTTCCCCTGACAACTATCACTTTCATACACAAACCTCACGTCCAACATGGATTATGAATGCGTGTTGTGGTCATTGCTTAGCCGTTGATACGAGGCCGCTGTTCCAGGTCACGGAGAATGTCGTCTGCAACCGCAGTTCAATATGCATCACTGCTAGACCATAGAATTACATGTTTTATTTCTGGTGCTTTTTCTGTATTACTCCCTGTAACAAAATAAACACCATGAGCAGTTTCGCCACATGCTTCCTTGATTTTGTGCACACACTCAGCTCGTCTTTGTTGATTCTGCTCTTTTGTAAAACACTGGATTTGAAATCTGTTACACTGATATTCATGCCTGAGAGAATTCAGCGATTACCCTTTCACACCGAAGCTGA